TCCTCATGAAGCTGACTCAGGAGGTGGTCAGCCCACAGCAGTGGTCCTTCCATGGCTCAGATTCATGGTTGATACTGATTTACTGCATTAACATCAGTGAGAAAGACCAAAGTGGTGTTTTGGGGAAAGGTGAAGATAAAACTGCAGAAGGAATTAAGGAAATTAATAGAATTAAATCTGACCCTTTCTGAATTTAGTGATACTTCTTCTATTTATTTAAAAGCTTGTGATTCAGTTTGCTAACTACGCAAACTGAACTTTCAGTTTGCTTTTTGGTATGCCCACAAAACATCCATGCGGGGTGTTTACACATTTCACTGGATACAGCTGTTTCACCTCTTATATACTGATGCAAGCTCTTCATTAACATATTTTATATAGTGGCCAAACCCACCCATTTATAACGGAGAACATTTTGGTATTTATTACTAGCAGGCAGAGCTCATTTTCATGGCTCAAAACTCCCCGGTTGTTTTCCAAACCCTTTCTTTAGGACACAGTACCACCCGGTGGCCGTTTCCCGAAACAAGACCGAGAGAAAAGGCTGCTCATGAAAACATGGACAAGTGCAAAAACACTTGGCCACAATTTTCATTATGTACTCCTGCAAGGCTAACATGAAATCCAAGTTTTAAATCCAACCACGACCACTGCAATCAGTGAAGACATTCCATTCTACAAGCAACGTAATAGCCACAACCACAGGAAAAAGGTTTACTTTGCCAAGATACTAATTTAAGGAGACCAAATCTTCAGGCAGTCTTATTTCCTGGTATTTATGTGTTAAGAAATGTTTGAAACTACATCACTAATCTTTCCACTGCACTTGCCAGAACTATACTGCAAGAATCTAACTTGATTGTATAGGGAAAACAAATCAAGGCTTGTAATTATAGTATACTGGTAACAGTTTTTATGATGTTCAGATATCAAACTTTTCTAGCTACTGTAAAAAATATGTATTTAAATATAAGATTATTCCTGATTAAATGCAAAAAGAGAATAGAAAGTGATCTTACTTATTTCTCCTTGTAAACTAAAGGTGAAATCTATGGAGAGTAGAAGCCAATACATTTCTGCAATGAGAAAACAAATCCTGACACTTTCTTTATCGTACTCACAGGTGAGATATCCCCTTGACTGGTCTTCATTTGCTTGAATCATAAAAACAGAGTAAATTTAGCAGAATATACAGAAGCATCTGCATATTTTTGCAACAAGCAGTATATACACATATTAAACTCAAATCTCCTGATTTGGATACTATTACACAATAAGAACATTGTATACAGAGGGAAAAAAAAGCAATTACAAACTTCCCCATCCCTTTATTTTTTCTCTTTTTACCTGATAGGCTTGAGGCAAATGTATATGGATAAAACCAACATGTAGTGAACTTGCATATGTTCAAATGAAAGTATTATTTGATTTTGACTTGCCCTTGGGCTTTGCTGTAACACACGGATAAAAATCAGGAGAAGGAAACATTGTTTTCTAACTGTTGCACCCAAATTTAAATGTTGTGTGAGGAATAAAGAGCACCAAGTAATTTTCAGTATCATTGAACAATAAAAGCAGTAATTAACAACTTATTCAGAGGCTGTGAGAGGAAAAAACCGATAAACGAGGTATGAAAAAGTAGGAAATTATTTAGTTACAGTATTATTTCCAAGTCATTACATTTTTCAGGCAAAATCTTATAGTAACAAAACACATTACTAATGTGTACTAAAATAAGGTTATTTACTTAAAAATGATACATTGGACATAATCTGTGTACAGAACAAGCAAATCATGGTAAACTCAATAAGGCACCTTCTAAAGCAGATGCTGTACAAAATACATTAGTGTGTTACATTTTTAAAGTAGTATTCTACACTTCTGGCATATAACACACACAAGAGTGTGACCATTTGTCTTGTTCCACTCTTCTTTCATATTTTATTTACATCTTCTCTAGGTTAACTACAACGTTATTTATTCTTCTTGTATACAATATAGTACATTTCATTTTGGGCATGTCATGTCAGAGCACAAATGTCACTACATGATGTGGGCTTCTATAATTGCATTAAACAGTAAAATATCACAAAGCAACAATTACATTAGATTTGTCCAAAAAACAGAAGTAATGTGCCCTCTACTTCTGCTGTACAGCCACGTCTGAGCACCATGGTTCCATAAAGCACTGTACTGTGCAACACTGCCAGCTGCTTTTAGACATCAGCCCTACTTGGAATAAAGATTGTGGGCACAGGATAAAGACTTAATTCAGAGGCACTGTCAGGAGAGTGAGGAAAGGCTAAATCATTCTCATATTTCACAAAAGACAAGCATGTAACTTCCCTTTAAAAATATCTGCAATAGCAAAAGAATGTTTTTTAACTTTATGTCTCTGCTCTTCAAACACTTTTAGACCATTAAAATACAGTCTGTTAAGACAGAGCAGATGAAATGTATCCAAATAATTTGTTTTATAAACACATTCAAATGGTCATTTAGATCAAGATCTAAAATTTGATTCTAGACTACTATGGAGGTAACTTTAATATTAATTTTATATTTCATTCAAGACCTCAAAAAAGGCTAATTAAGAAAATAATTGGGAAAAAGTGATGGATATTGGGAAAACTGTTTCTTGAGGAATAAATACATTAAGTAAAACTCTGAATAAACTCAGAATGTAAGCCTAATTTTCTCTGTAGGAATACCCACATTTCTGATGGAATTTACAAGTTAACCAGGAACACAAAAATTTTCCTTTGAGTTGCTGTAACCATAATTATGAAGTGACTCCAATTACGTCTATCTAAAATCATATGAAACAGGTTAAATAAGCATAAAAAATCCCTCCATATGAGTGTTTAAGGACTTCCAAGGCACAGGCTTGATAATCCCCAGGCCATTTTCCACACAGTTGATTTTTGTATCAAAAAAAAAAAAACAACAAAACACAATTGCCAGTTTTGGTGGATTTTTTTTTTTTTTATAATAGATGCTTAAAATTTTGACCATCAAAATGAGATTTATCACAGTCCAACAGAAGAATCCCATTACCCTCTCTGACCTTAAAGGCTTCTGAACTCTACAGGATTGTATAAAGCAACAACTCAGCTTTGGAGTCTGCATTAATTATGCTTAGTTATGTAAAAATTAATGGGCTGGCTCTGAGAACAGTTTTTTCCCCCAAATGATTAAGTATCAGTATAGACATTCTTTAGTTTTAACATTTTGTTGAGTATCAGAATCAATGAAGCTCCTTTATAGCACAGCAAAAACTGCACATGCATGATACATTTGAGTATGAACAGAGTAACAGAAGTGCTGATAAATTAGGTTTAAGGCAAAAAAGATTTTTTTTTCCCCCTCTCAAAAAATCATCTTTGCAGTAGTTGGCTCCCTCTATGTTAATGTGTAAATCAATTTAGGTTCTAAGGTGTCTGACCATCCTATTGCTGCCTTGAAAATACATAAACAATGGAAAAGAAAAAAGTGAAAATAAACAGATTATTGAAATTCGTACTTCCAGAAGGGGCTTCCTGAAGACTTGGAAAAAATGAACTAAAAAAAATTCACAAAACATGTTTACAGCTAACGATGATGTAGCAAATTCTAAATGAAACAAGATTCTGCATAGGATGGGGTTAATTTAGACAGCTCTCCATGATTTTAAAGTTTAAGCTAGCAGGGTACCTACATAAACATTTTTTCCTTCTTATTGATAAAAATTCTAGAGAAGGAAGAAGAAAAGCTTATCCCTTACTTTTTTTGGCTTATACCAAAAATTTTCCAACCACCTGTGCAAAAATCATGCATGAAGACATGATTAACAATTGCAAAATCATCATATATTTCTTGGCAATGGACGGAGAAACTTTTTTTTAAAAGCCTTTATCATGAGGATTGTGGCACAATATCATATATCTCTTGCTGTTCTCAAATAAGTTAAAGTTGACACACCTATGAACTTCTCAGCCAGAATACATATTAATACTTAAAGGCATTACTAAACAAAAGTAATGACTTTATTAAAAAAAAAAAAAAGTCCCTTGAAATAGCTAGTTTTCTATAAAATATGTAGAACTGTTAAATAAAGTCTGTACATCACAATAGAAAATAAAAATACTGCAATCTTTTGCCTGACCATTTACATTATGGGAACTACAGGATTAAAATAAAAAAATAACATGCTAGAAGGTTGTAATTGTTCACAGATCACATTACTTCTGTGTTACATTGCTTTTTATCAGTTGTATTTTCAAGGGAAATTTAAACACATCAAAACAATCTCCATGTAAATACTTTAAGACAACAAATAATCTGGCATAAATCAATCTGAAGTTTTAATATTTTTCATCAATATCGATATTATTCTTAATTTTTTTCATCAAATCTCAACTATGGCATGTGTGTGCGCATATATCTAATTGTACACAAGTACACAGGACTAGGTATTTGTTTTGTTTTTTTTTTTTACTAAAGCACAAAACACACTGTATAAATAACTTCCCTTTTTAAAGTTATCTAGAACAAGACTTACAGTACAAAGCTATAGGCACTTAAATTATCAGATAGATACAATGGTTTCAATACTGTGTGTTCAATCTTCAGATGATTCATGCTTTGAAGCTTCAACTTGAGTTATGGTACTATTTTCTAACTTCCAAGTAGAAGTGCCAAAGGAGTTATAAACTAATAATTCTACTTTACAGTACCTCACGGAGGGTTCTGGCTTCTATCCAGCTTGTGTGGGTCAGTGGTGAAAATGGGGGAACTTCAGTTTCTTGTGCAGGGCAAACAGTTACACAGAGTGACTAGGTTGGAACAGACCTTCAAGATCATCGAGTCCAACCCATGCCCTAATACCTCAACTAAGCCATGGCACTGAGTGCTACATCCAGTCTTTTTCTAAACACATCCAGAGATGGTGACTCCACCACCTCCCCAGGCAGACCATTCCAGTACTTTATTACTCTTACTGTAAAAAACTTTTTCCTAATATCCAACCTATATTTCCCTTGGAGCAGCTTAAGACTGTGTCCTCTCATTCTGTCAGTTGCTGCCTGGAGAAAGAATTGGCACAATAAAACCAAGTTTCGCAATTGTGCTAACTTACTGTATGTTCATGAATTATTTTCAATGCCATTCCTCCCAAACTTAACTAGAATGTACAACACCCACTGATTTACCTTGTCTCAAATCTTCACTTCCACTAAGTGGCCCACAGATGTGGCCTCCTGTGTCTCCATCACAGCAACCCAGCTCCAAATCTTCTGCATGCTGTGGATCTGACCTTTAACAGTTCATGTACTCAATTCTCCTGGTCTTGACCTTTATGGCATTCTCTGATCTTCAGAGCACCCAGAGCTTCCTGCCTTCCCTCTTTTCTGTCTGAAAACCAGACTTGTTCTCAAGCCATTCTAAACTCACCTTCTGCCTAGCTTGGTCAAATGATGAAAGAGCACATTGCTACAGCTGACAAATCCCTCCCTTCATGGGAAGAAGCTCAGAGCATGACAGACACCTATCAATGAGTTCCAATACAGCAGGAAGGCAAAACACATCATCATTGGTCTTTCTGCTAAGATGTAAAGTATTCTATGGCAAAAATGCTGGTTGCACGTGGCACTGTGAAAAAATATGACAAATTTCAAGGATCCAATTATGGAACTCTCTCTAGACTGCAAGTGAGATGACCAAGGCAGCCTACATCTCCAGAAAAGATTGCTTCAAGCTCCTTACAGATTTAGGTGGGCATTCCTTGATTAACGGTTCACATTTTTGCAGTTCTCCTTGTGATCAAATAAAAAACAGAAAACAAAATTCAAACTGTGATTTCTGAAGATAATGTAATGGCAAAAGATTCTGTAGCAAATCTCTAATTGTGAGCCACAAAATGCACAGAGCCCTGACCATAAAACTTTGTTCATTTAAATGGTTTCTTATATAATCCAAATGACAGCAAAACTATCCTGGCACACACATAAAGGCAAAAAGAACTGTTAAACTGAGTAGTATCACAAACAGATTTATAACCTACAGGCTGTTTCACAAAAACTTGGTATGGATTGACTAGGTTTTATCAGGTAGAAGGAAAAAAAAAAAAAAAAAAAAAGCTTATATTCTCCATCTCTGTTGAATCCATATAGCTTGTTAGGCTTTCACAGAAAGCACTGTAATCTGAACATTCAATTCAGTACCCAGAGTTTTACTGGAGACTCACTAAATATGATTGAAGTCTCAATGCAGCTCAAACCAAAACAAAATGTGTATTGTCTCAAGGCTGTCCATATATGTAGCACGTAGTGTATAGAGGCTCTCAGTATCATCGTCTATGAAGTACTGAAAGATTTCATTAGCAGCCTGTGGAAGTGTGCTGAGAAAATATACTGAATCTCAGTTATTTCCTCTTCTCTGTTTTTATCTTCCTCACCCACATTTGAGTGAAAAGATCAAGGGAGTCCAGCTTTGCTCTCCAAAGTCAATTTCCTATGTCAAATCTTTACATCTTGCGATTCCACCATCTTGGCAAGTGTCTTCTTGATCCTCAAGGCAGTGAGCCTTGAGGCAGGATTATGAGCCCAGCACTCAGACATCAACTTCAATATTGCTCTTAAACACTGCAGAAGGAAAAACAAAGGCACATTATTGTAACAACCACTACACCCAAAGTTATAATTCTGGTTTGCTGTCAAACTCAAATTATAGAACTTTAAAGTCCAAAAATGTGCGATTTCCAAATTTTCTGCAAAATCGTTGGTAGAAAACTATTATAAAGGGATTTACTGAAGGAAAAACCCCCAAAATGCCCCAAACCAAACATCCACATGCCAATCCTTCTTATCCCACCCCCTCATTGCCTAGTAGTGTACTACAGTAGCAGGAACTAACACAAGTGTTGATTTAGTCTCTCAGTGATGCATTACCAGAACCTCTCTGTACAACTCAAGAACAGTGGTACAAATATAGCAGCAATAAACAGAAAAATCTCCACATATATGGATGGAAAACCACAGAGAATTCTTCCAGGGAAAATGAAGATGTGACAACAGTTCTTTCAGCAAAAAAAAGAGAAAACTGGGAATTCATAGAAGTCAAGGACTTGGGGAAGAATGGATATGGCATGTTTAACTTGCTGTGTGAAATAGTTACATCTTATTTACTGTGTTCAACCTGCGGCCCTTTAAAAACACATATAAATGAGAGTATTTTAGTTACATCACAGATTGTCCTGGGATGTAACAGGAAAAAAGGAAAGAAGAAATCCACAAAGGAACTGCTTCATCTTTCATGAAATATTTTATGCCACAAACCAATAAGCTATATCCATTAAGACTAATAAAATGAATTAAAAATTAATTTGAGTTCTAGCTCCAATTAAAACTCTGAATATATTCCACTATCTAAAATACGTGATCTCAAGTAGAGTAGTATTCATACACTTGCATGCTGCTTAAGGGCATCTTCCCCTCAGATCGCTGAAAAGATACATAAAAAATCTAGTATTTTGAATTGATCTTACACATGTCTCTCTCTCCTATTATTGCTATCAGGTTTTCAAACTATCAGAATGTGTGAATGCAGTCCCTACTTTACATATTAATGAACAAACTGAAGTAGCTTTTCCTCTCAGCACAACTCACTTCATCACTGTTCCATCTGTTTGATACCACTGGGCGCAGGCGTTTGACACACACCACTTCTCTCATGTCCTCATAGGATGGATCATTTGGCACCATGTCATAATATGGCAACTGATACTCTTCAACAATACCTGGAGATAATTGTGAAAGATTAGGAACAATTAAAATAAATAAATCTATATATGTACTCCTGGATTTCCTTAGCTAGGAACAAAAAATTAACTTTGTGCCAAGTTAAACTCACCAGATGCTTTTTCTGTGGTAAAAATCTGAAAATTTCACTACAATAATTTACCATAAAAGCAAAATATTATGATTATTAACTTTAGTAGCTATGTTAATTCCTTGTAGTGCCTTTGATTTTGTTACCAAATGCTGAATTTGGCTCTTTCTGATCTACTATTTGCTACAAATAAGCATAGATAAACATAAGATGGAAGAAGAATACAGGTGAAGATGCATAAGGATACAGAAGAAGAGTAAAAGAAATGAAAGGATGAGTCACAAAAATACGTGTCAGACTATTACTACTACTTTTAAAGAATACAAGTCTGATGACACAGCAAGTTAATTTTATTATTTCCTAGTGAAACAATGCTAGAATGAGAGAAGGACCTGGTAGATTTTATAGAGAATATTTAAAAGTTTACCTCCTGTGACACAGCGCCGAGCCATCTCCCAGATGATCAGCCCAAAACTGTAGATGTCAGCCATGATGTATGGCTGGAAATGGTTTTTATTCAGGCTTTCATCCAGGACTTCTGGAGCCATGTAACGTTTTGTTCCCACTCTAGTGTTCAAGGGAACGTCAACTTCATTTGTGTCACTATGTGAAAACATTAGCAAGTTACTGAATTGTGGACTGTTACACGGTATGAATATGGCACAACCACTAAAAAGACAATTCTCTGTCTCCACAGAACTTAAACTAACAAAAGTATTTAATAATACTATTAAAGTATCACATTTTCCATTAAGTTTCAACTGCCTATTTGCTGTTCAAATTTTCTATGAAAAAATTTACGTGACTGCAATTACTACAAAAGGCTAGCTTTGAATATAAAAATCAGTCTCCATTTCCTCTACAAAATTTTTATTTTCCATAAGAAGAGTATTTTTACTGTTTCTTAACAACCTGTTTTCATCATGATGTCTATCAGCATTCAAGAACAACATTTTCCTTTCAAAACTAAAAAAAAAAGAAACCCCGAAACAACCAAATGATTCCATCTGCCTTTTTAAACTGGGTATCTGGTGCATTAAATAAACAAATTACATTCAAGTTTTCTCATGACAGAGGATTTTCTACCTGTTAAACTTGACTGCAAGACCCAAGTCTGCAATGCAGCAGGTTCCATTTTTCTTTATCAAGATGTTTTTACTCTTCAGGTCCCTGTGTGCAATCGCAGGCTTGCCTTGTGTCCCATAGATTTCCGTGTGCAGGTGGCACAGGCCACATGCAGCAGAATAGGCCAGTTTGAGCAGAGCCCTGTTGTCCAGCGTAGTGCACTTCAGAAAATCATACAGTGATCCATTTTCATGATAATCTGTGATCAAGTAAAGCTGTGTCCAGGAGCCAGTGCCTTTAATATCTGCTGCTATGAAACCTATGAAATGTATAAACCAAGTCATGTATTTAGTTGTACATAAAATTTTTGTGTAGTAGATTTAGTGATAATTCCTAAAGCTGTTTTTTCTCGTACAGTAGCAGAAGATATGTGTTCCCCTTATGAAAACTAACTATGTAGAAGCTCTGATTCTAACTGTATGTGAGGTTACCAGTCCAGCCTTCCAGCAAAGAGATTGCAGACACGTCTCCAAGCAGGAGCAGCAAGATTCTACCCTTTCAATAGCATTTTAATAGCAAACATTAAGAGAAGTCCATCTGGTTATTCCAGAGAAGCTGCCTTAGAACCCCTTGAGCCACCCACTAAGAGCTCCAGATCCTTCTCCTCCTCCCTCATGCCACCCTCCAGCAGCTGAGCACTGTTCTGCTGCCTTACCGAGGATGTTTTCATGTCGCATGAGAACAGTTTGGTAAATCTCTGTTTCTCGGAACCAGCTGGCTTCTTCTGTGGTAAAAAACACTTTCACTGCCACTTTTTCACCCCTCCATTTGCCCATCCACACTTCACCATATCGCCCTTTTCCAACCTGCCTCACCATCTGAATTTGTTTGGCAATAGTGCGCTGAACCTAAGGAAGACAAAAAAAAAATTAAAAGAAAACATAAGAAAGAAGAGGGCATAAGATGAAGGAGGGAAACAAAGCAGTTAACCAGGCTTCTTGTCAAGCTTGGATTACTTTAAAGTTTGATCCCATTGTAAAATTTGTTCCACAAAAGTTTTTACATTCCAATTTTGGACTCATTATTGCTGCGTCCAAGGTGCAAAAAAACCTGAAAAGATGTTAAGTCAACTCAACTTCTAATTGAAGAGTATGTTCTCTTGCATTTAATTTCTGATTTATAAATAGCCGTCTGTCTCACTGGCTAATTTTTATGCAAGTATTATATAACATGGTGAATGAACAAAATTATGAATAATTATCACAAAATGGTTTGAGTTGGAAAGAACACTGAAGATCATCTACTTCCAACCCCTCTGTCATGGGTGAGAACACCTTCCACTAGATGAGGCTGCTCAAAAACCCCATCGAGACTGGACTTGAACACTGCCATGGATGGAGCATCCACAGCTTCTGTGGGCAACCTGTTCCAGTGCCTCAACGTCCTCAGTGAAGAATTTCTTCCTAATATCCCATCTAAACCTACTCTCAGTTTAAAGCTGTTTCCCTTTGTCCTATCTCTACATGCCCTTGTAAGAAGCCCCTCTCCGGCTTTTCTATTTTAATGGTCAGTGGATAAATGCCTGAGTTCACTCAGCTTGATACCTACATTAGCCATTTCTTGTATTTTTATCTTAATGGATGCAGACTCTAAGTTTTCTGCTTATAACATTTTTGTAACAATAGATTTTGTAATATATCTTCATACTTTGTTTTAATTCATTATGTGAAGTTTGTAATTCACCTTTCATCATAATGGCATATAAAATAATAAGCATTTTGTATGAACAAACTGCTTTCTTATAGGCATTAGATCCAAACCAAACTTTGTATGTGATGGAGAGCAATTCAGTGAAGAGAAATCTTAAGTTTAGGACTTACCAACAGTGGTAGTCCTGATCCACTCCCAGAACTCTGTGACTGGTCAATAAGGTCTTTTAATGACTCCCCAGCTGGAATAAATGCTTCATCTTGTTCCAGGTCACGATTATAACAGTGCCTCTTTGCCATCGACTTACAGTAATGCCTGCAAAAGTAACAGAAGCTAAGCTGAACTCCAAAATACTTAAAATATGTAACAAGCTGATCTACTGAAAGAGCTATTTAAAGATAGACATTTTCTCAAAAGAAAAAACAGAGAAGCAGATTTTACTGTGTTTTTTCTTTTCCTGAAATGTAACTTACATAACTTTTTAATGTTAAGAAGCTGTTGTAATGCATGTCCAGGTGTGTCAGCTGATTATCAGTCAGGTGGAAACCCAGCATTTTTGATACTCAGCTCTCAGCCAGAGTTACCAGCACAATATTGCTGATATTGTGTTAAACAGACAGAACCTTGAAGCACAGCAGCTGAGGCTGACACAAACCTTGGAAACTGCTGGAACAGTGATCATCTCCAGCACAGGGCTGGGGCTGACAGAAGCACCTGAACAAACTGCCATAACTCAGCTCGACAATTACTTAGTTTTGAAACAAAATGAAGCAGATGAAATTTAACTACTGAAAGTGACTGAGACCCAAGAGAATAAAAAGCATGAAGATATTCCTGCTTACCAGCTGCTATAGCATTGAAGTTATGTGTAGCTTACAAAACTGTATATATTTTGTAGCCAGAGGAAAGGATCAAATTCACTTGAATTCTCTGCCATGAACATTTCATTTTACGTAGTGATGGAGACTGCTATCCACAGAAATGTGAAATTAAGTTACAACTGTTTCAAATCTACATATGATTAACTGAGTACATTTGGAAAATAACTGTTATGTTTACACTAATTTGCAAAATTAAAAATGTTGCCAATAAAGAAAGTGCTTTCTTACTTGTAACAAAAGCAGCTAAGTAAGATGACCATGACAATTATGCAGACTGCCATAGAAATCAACACTGCCATCCAACGAATGCTGCCATCAAAAAGTCCATCTATTTGACAAAAAAAAAAAAGGAAAAAATAGGAAGAAAAAAAAAAGAGTTTCCAAAGTCTATTAATTAAACATATATTGTAAACAGTTTATTTAGGTATGGTTTCATATACTGTGTATCAGAGTAAGTATTTATACCACAAAAACCAAAAATAAATTTATTTCGATGACCAAAAAAAAAAAAAAAAAAAAAAAAGAAAGATTAAAAGATTTATCTAGATATTT